TTTGTACCAAATAGCTATTTGGTGTTGAATTCATTCCGCCCAGAAAATGGTTGTTTTGTCAAAATGACATAATGTTTGTTTGAATATCTCCAAAATGCATGATACCTATTTAAAGCAGATAAGAACAAGGGCAGAAGTCTGCGTTGAAAGAAAAGGGGGGCCATGTTGAAGGACACTGGGGTAAGGCTGGGGCTAGAATAAAGCCCCTAACTGTGGTTGCCTTTGAATTAATGATTTGGATAGTGTACTGTACTTTGCTTCACACTGCAAACCTGTTATGAATCTGGTGCAAAGCCATTTCTGACAAAGTCCATTAAACCACTTTATGCTTAGTCATATGAGACAGAAATTTAGATTTCCTGGTGTACGAAAGAGGACATACCGAAAAAGATTGTACTTACAGTTTACAAATATGATTAGTGGCAATCAAGAAACAGACTAATTAATCTTGGCAGCCCGGAGAGTCTTAACCCAAGCCTCAAACTGCTGCCTGTATTAATGCAAGCAATTTTGTTTTTTTTTAATGTGTCGCACAACTCGAGAATATGTCATGTCCTCAAGGGTCACTCACTTACACTGCATTTCATCATTTTCATAACCGAACCAAACATCAGACCTCCCTCCTGACAGAGTGCGCAAAAAAAAAAAAAAAAAGTAGCTCAATCGTTGTTTCTTCACACACAGTTTCTAAAAAGTCTACACAAGCTGAAAATTCCTCCTTCCAAACTCCCTCTCCCTCTCGCCGTCGGCATTTTGTCTCTTCAGGATGATGAGTAGACTGGAGGACACCTTAGAAATGCATCAGGTCAAGTTGGTTTGGTGGGTTTGTCCTTTGGCACCAGGGAGAAGGTGCTGGTATTGAACTATCGGTTCCTTCATTTCAACGTTTATCGGAGTGTGGTAGACTTTTTAGAAACTGTAAGAGGAAATCAGTCTTTCCAATTTTGTTTCCGGTTGCTTGATAAGCGAAACAAAGACAAACTGAAGTTTATCTCTGGCCATGCAAATCATTTATTTTGTTTTTGGTTTTTAGTTTCATTTGTGGCACATGATGTTTGCTTAGTTTACAGAAAAAGTTGGCGTCAGATATTTCATGTGTGGTAGGCTATTACCTCAAATGAGACCATTTCTACCTGAAGAGAGTTATATCGTGTATTTGGGCCTGTTTGGTTCTTGTGGATCCGGATTGAAAATTTTTTTTATCTTTTAAAAAGACATTAATAAAGCGTTTTATTCAGCGTGAATCCGTTGGAGGTGAGAGATGCATGTGATTCAGTGACACCACATATGCACATATCGTACTTCTTGTGAAACTTTGGCAAGTTGCAACAGCCCGTTAGCAATGAGGCTCTTCACCCGCGCATAAACGAGGCATTTTATTTACATGTAAGCGTGGTGTCACTACAGTTTTAGCTTCGAATCTATGTCACCTGATTGGTCAGTTAGAATTTTGTTTTGTTGGACATACATGTAATGCGGCAAAAAGTTTGTGTTCCGTTCTTTTGATAATGATCAGTTTCGGCGTCCAAGAAAAGCCAGATTCATGCTTTTATTTTATTTCTTTTCCCTCATTCTCTTCTCATTTCTGCTCTTTTCTCACCCCGTTTCACTTTCCCTGCCCCCTCCTCTTCTGAAACTCTTTAATTTTCTCCCAACTTCCATTATTGCAGTTGAGAATGAACGCTAACAAGGTATGTACTCCAAACTTTCTTTGTGTTATGTTCATCTACAAATGTACTTGTACCTTGGTCCATATTTTGGTTTGAATTTTATGTTAACATTCAGTGCCATGAAGTAACATACATTTACGTGTAGTTTTGTGTTTGTGGTTAATTGCTGTGTAAGGGGTCACTTAAAGAAAACAACCCCCCCCAAAAAAATTGTGCGTCTGTTGCATGTCTGCACAAAATGAAACCACCCCCTCAAAGCTATTCTGTTGCATGAAACGGTTGTTGAGTTTGAGATATTGTCTTTGTGCGTTGATGCACATGTACTGTGTGATGTACAGTACGAATTCTTTGTGAAAGTAAGGTAGGGGCAGATCTATATGTACAATGTACCTTTCAGGAAATGGGGGGAGGAGGTTGAAGGCATGCCCCATGGAGGTCGGAACCTGGAGAGTGATTTTGTGGAAAGACCAGTCCATAGCAGACCTCTTGTCTGAGTTCAAGCTACAAGTTAGTCATTGAGATTTTGGGAAAATGAAAGACTTCCTAGCATGCTGTGAACGGTTACAGTCATCATCAGGCCTTCAGGGATAGTGTCCATTTCGTTCTTGATCATTTTTCACAAGTGCTTTAAAAAAGAACAGACTTGAGGGAAAGACTAGCGTTGGGTGTGCTTATTAAAGATGCTTTTGTCGTAGACCACCAGGTGCTATGCACAGGCATCTTCTGTCTTCTTGGATGCTATTGGTTGCTGCACAATATGTGGCCGTTGGCTTTGTTTACAAGACCGCCATCTTGAATTGAAAGTGAGGCAATCCCTGTCAAATTTGATAAATACATGTATCTGTCAGAATAAAGGTGATGCAGTTGGAACAAATGATAGTTTACTACCCTTGTGCTGTGACAGGTAGTTTCAAATGAGAGGAAAAAAATGTCACCGTTATTGAGGTGAGGTTGTACATGTAATAACAAACCTCATACCGGTAGCTAGCAAAAATGAAATGACATGTCATATCTTTCTAGTAACATGGACATACATGCACATTTGTATTTACAACAGAAATGCATCTGTAGGCATTACTCATGCCTAAATCCATTTAAGGTGTCTTTCATACAGGTTGTTTAGGGTACGTTATCTGTCAGGGCATGATGATATAAGTCACTTTACAAACATACAGCGTAAGCGAAAGTTGTTCAACACGTTCTTGTAGTGTACCGGTACATGTAGGTTGTATGTGGTTTTGCTGCGTGTACGCATTTCCTCGTCTGCTCACTTTTCCTTTCGCATTAAAATTCTAACCCTGCATGGAAATTGCTATTGTGTGGACGGTCTGTGATTTCTGGTATCTCCGACTGCCGAAAAACTCCCTCTAAACTCTCCATTTTTTCTCCGGCAAAGTTGCTCCCCCTCCCCAGATAAAACCAGTTCAAAATATGGACATCCACGGTTCCAAACGAAATTTGTGGGAACTGAAAAGCATTTTTAATGGAGAACCAGAACTAATTTTATTTGCCAGAGAGGACCAAAATGTTTCGAGGAGCCATTTTTTTAAGGGGGGGTGTAAAGAAGTTTGGAATTTTTGTAAATGTACAGTTCAGACTGGTGAGGTTACCTTTTGGGGGGGTTGTTGGCACTTTACAAAAGAAAGGATATGACAGCCTGAAATCATTGTTTGTCATGATATACCAGTGCATGGATATCAAACACACAATAGGAAACTACATGTGTAATAGATGCTTATGTACATGTATTAATTTATATGAAGATGTCCAAAGAAATTGACTGGAGTGGGATTTGAACCAGTGACCTCCGGAACACAGTTCCATTGCTCCTCCAACTGAGCTGTCCAGCCCAGTAAGGGCATTTCTTGCCACTGGCCAGTTTTGCCAGTGATCGCTGAGACTCGAGTGAGATTAGAACCAGTGACATCTGGAACACAGTTCCATTGCTCCTCCAACTGAGCTGTCCAGCCCAGTAAGGGCATTTCTTGCCACTGGCCAGTTTTGCCAGTGATCGCTGAGACTCGAGTGAGATTAGAACCAGTGACATCTGGAACACAGTTCCATTGCTCCTCCAACTGAGCTGTCCAGCCCAGTAAGGGCAGTTCTTGCTACTGGCCAGTTTTGCCAGTGATCGCGGAGACCTACAGTATTTAAGCTATTATAGGATAATAAATGGTTTTCCTTGTTGTAATGTACATGAAGTTGCTGACCAGTGACGCATCTCTGTAGTACTCAAGTATTAGAGTGTTCATTGAACAGTTGAAAGTCATTCTTTGAGATAAGCCAATTAAAAGAAGTAAATTGCATGTATCTTGAACATTATGAAAGGGCATTCATGTACATTTACATGTTCGGTATAAAATGAAACTAAAAGGAGTGTGGAGATGTGTGCTCTATTAAATAAAGCAAATTCAGAACTTCCATTTTGCCGCACAGTTTTGTCTGTGGAGGTGTGTGCTTTACTCGTGCTCACATCTCAAGCAATCTTTTGCCACTCGCCATCTTGGATATCAGGCCATGTCCAAATGTTCAACTGAATGTGCACATCCAGATTTTCAACTGAACATGTACATGTACAAACATGTACAGTGTACAGTAAAATGTACGTGTAAATCCAAACTTCAAGGTGGGTGCAACCAAATTTTTAGTTCAGCAGGTACAACCAAATTTTCAACTTAATGGGCAAAACCAGGTTTTTAACAGAATGGAAACAACCAAACTTTCAAGTGAATGAAGACAGACCTGCTTCTCAAAACAAAAAAATGCATGTTGCAGTTTTTCTGATGTGTTTGCTTGTAACCATGGTAACGTGTAACATTTGATCTGTCTTGTACATCTTTGGCTTTTTTTGCTCGTCTTATTGACCACTCGCCATTGTTTCTTTTCCTTACAGGACAGCGATGGTCAGGGGTGTCCGTTTTGCCGATGTGAGATCAAGGGCACCGAGGTCATTGTCATTGACCCCTACCAGCACCAGGGTTCAAAGGACAAGACTAACGGGGCCGAGGAGAAGCACGATTCTGAGTTTGACGATGATGATGACGATGGCTTGGAGGTGAGAATTGTCATTGAAAGGCTGTTTGTAAAAAGCAGATTTTATGCGATACTTTATACATTGCTCATAATTTCAAGTTGTTGGCAGTAAGGTGAAGACAGGTAGCCCCCCCAAATGGCTGTTGGCCACAAGCAGTGGGTGCTTTTGTTTGAAAGTACAGAGCGATAGATTGATCAACCATAAAAGCTTGCCTACAGTAGTGGGGGCTTTCTTTGTGGAAATTGTGTGATCACTTGGTAATTTTGTGCCCCTTGACGGAACCCTTTGGTCGGAGCTAATTGGCTCGTTTGACCTTGGCATTGTCTCACATTCCCAGATGCCACCAACAGAGCCCGTCTACGCAGCACCTCAGAAGGGGCCCAAGACTGAGCCGCCCAAGAAGCTGGGTGCCAGCAATGTGCCTGCCCTGCCCCCACGCCGGCCCTCCCCCAATGTCTCCCCCACCTCGTCTCCCAACATGTCGCCGCGCTCGTCCAATCACGACCTCAGTGAGGCCGGGAGAGGGGCCTCCGCGGGTGATGGCAAAGCGTCAGGCTTTCCCACCCTTCCGCCCCGGCGCTACCTGGACGACAGGTTGGAACGAACCGAGGCCGACGGCTTCGCAACTGCAGAAACCCAGAAGACAGGTGCGTGAACTATTATACCAATATTGAATGCTTTGAGTGATGGAGTGATACCATCCCCCCTCGATGATCCACGGAGCGTTCCATTTTCACCCTCCAAATACTCCATGTGTCTGTCAGGGATGCCAGTTTACCTACGCCACCAGATAAAGTACCTGCAGTAGATGTTTGGTTTTTTATCATCTCTCTGAAAGATTCTGCTTGATTTAAGTGATAACTGATCAAGTTGATCTAGCTGCATTTAAAAAAATGTGTCAATTTGATTGAGGAATTCGTTGAACATTTTACTACCAGCACTTTTTAAAACACACTATTTGAACCCAGCTCTGCGGTGCTAACACTTCGCACACTAACACCCACACCAGTATAAATTTGTACCGGTGCTGTTTTCGAGTCCATCAGTCACAAGTGCCGGTAACAGGGCGAACAATGACCAAAGAATGCTTTTGTCACAGTTCATTTGAATAGGTTGTGAATTGGCTTCAGACAGAATGACTTGTGATCGACTTAGAGGGACTCCTGACGGATTGGAATACAGCACTGTTTTGTACACAATACCGCTGGTCGTGCCTTTTGTTCTTTGGTTGATATGGCTGTAGTGCAGTACAGGTCAGATTTGTAGCCAACACGCCGTGTCAACGTTTATCGAGTCCAACAGACACAAAAGGAGATAACCGCAAACATGAAACACGCTGACCCCTGCATAACAGAGAACGCCAACACCGCAATCTGATCTGCTGGGCATAAACATGCACACGCTACATGCAAACCCCAGAACAGCCAGGCCCTTTGTTGATCTGAGCCGTCATTTTCCAAGTTTCCTATTAAAAAAAAAAGTATTCAGTTCGACTGCAGCTCAAGTTATCTACATATTCCAGGGAAATGTGGTCAGTAGACGTCCCCCATGGCGGCCATCCTAGTATACATGTATGTATCGAGAGTTTTGCTGTACTTGCCATATTTGAGCTGAGTGTGTTCAAAATTGCGTAAACATAAATTCGATGTGAGGTGGGGATTTTTTCCAGTCAGTTTTGGAGCTGGAAAATTACCAAAAGAAATCACTCTGATTGTGACAAAATTACAATTAAACTAAACAGCAAAGATTGTACATGTACATGTACCAAAATGAAAGGAAATCGGGTCTGGACCTTCTGCACACAAGGGACAAAGTAACTGTGTTGGTCAGCTTTGATCATGCTGCAGCTTAGGGTTAACCATAAGGTCGTGGAGTTGAGCCTGTCATTTATTGAATGCTCCCTTTGCGTTTAAGATGTCCATGATTTTGCCCTTCTGTAACTGGGTGATGAGACCTTTTTTTTCCGAAATTCATTGTGGCTTGTTTCTGTGAGCACTAAGTTATCAGTATAGACAGGGATGGAAGGGGTGCCTTTTTCCCCACAAAGGCCATGTTATATTGGAGATGAATTTTAAGATCATTTGAAAACTCAGAAATAGATTTCTTTGTTCTGTATGTTTGCTTTGAACTCACAGGACCAAAGGCATTCCCATCAACAGAGGGCATCTATGACCATCCTCCCCCGCCCCAAAGCGCGCCCCGGGCCCGCATCACACCCCCAGCCACTACGACAGTCAACGACCTGATTCTCCTGTCTACACCCGCACCAACAGGTGACGACAGTCGGGGCGGTTCCCCAGCACCAACCCCCTTCCCCACAGGGACCGCGCCCGGTCCCGCCCCCGGCTCACCCAAGGGCCACATGAATCTCCTGTATGAACGGCTCAGCAATGCCCACAGCCCTTCCTCGCCCGGCGCAGCGGCCGCACCCACCAACCCCTTCCTGCGCTCGGGTAGCGACACACAGCCCGAGCACCTCACGTCCCTCAAAGCACAGCCCCAGGCGCACCGTAGCGCGGAAGAACTCCACGCCCTCTTCAGCGCTTCAGACGACCCCTTTGCCACAGCCCTAGATGGCGGGGTGTTCTACGAGAACAGCATCGGGTACCTGAACCTCCCACCGCCTCTGAACCCTGCCCTCCACCACCCATCCGCCCCCTCGCCCTCTTCTGCCGTCCAGTCAGAGCAGAAACACTTCGGCTACGAAAATGTGCCTCACCTAACACAAGCTCTCACCTTAGGTACACTGTGTTGTTTACGCTCTTTTCATACCTGTGTCACAAAATTTCATTTCAATCTTTCTTTTTTCAAGAGATGCCATGGTGATACCGATGAGATTGAAGTTTCCACTGTGAATGTGGCAAGTTAAATTATTGGTTTGCAGTAGGGCTGTGAAAAAATATCTCTTTTGTGAATATGTGTGGTTCTTTTCTCTGGTTCTTTCCAGAACCGCACATAGTCACAAAAAGGGTATTTCTCATCATGTGACCGCAAATGTAATATGTAACTTTTTGTTTGAGAAATAAGCCTCATGACTTGCAGAAATGAAATAATTTAAAACTGAATGGAAAACTTGGGTTATTTTATACAGTCAGTGGAAAGGTTTGACGCATAACTTCTGGCTGGAGAACTTTTCAAAGTTCATTTTGAAAATTTTGAAATATGGAATCTGAAAATTGTTTCCAAAGTAAACAGTGATGCAATTTTGGGATCCTTGATTCACTTTCATTTGAACCTGATTGGTAAGGTTACCATGACAACCTGTAGGAATAATCACTCTATGGCAAGAAGTAGAGACTCTATGGGGTCACATATGTCATTCATGAATGTCCTCCTGTCATCTGCAAAAAAACAAAAAAATGAATACTGAGAGCATACTGGTCAAAACATCGGTTCCAAACCACCGGTTCTTATCCGAACCACACTTCTTTTAGAGGATCATTCCTATATGATATGGCCAAAACCTTGCCAGCCTCACCTCTGCCTGAATGAGCTTGAAACATTATTGAGGTTGAACCCTACAAACCAGAAGGATACTGTCACTGTATTACCATGGCAGCTCTTGAACAGTGTGTTGTGTTTTCATGGTGGTTGGTTGCCTAACAACGATTCTTTTCCCACGTGTAGCAGAGTTGTTTGTTTCCTTGACAAGCTCTCCATCTTGTGTTGATATGCCCTCCCTCTCTGCTTCCAAACTGCCATCTTTGGTTTGAGGCCTAACCTGAGAAACCAGAAGGCATAGAGGCCTTGCACGGTAGCCATCTTGCAGGGCAATTCTGTTGTTACACAGGGAAACCTCTTTTGTGCATGTACATGTATACACTGTGGAACAACAGCTTTGGCCTGCAAGATGGCAGCCATGCAAACCCTGTGTCGTTATTTCTGGCTCTCAGCAAGAGAAAGTTAGGTACACTTGAATAATGGACTTGCAAGTGAAAAAAAAGTTACCAAGATTTTTACGTGCATACAAAAGTGTGCTCCCAAATCAGGTTTGCGGTAGGGCTTCGTGGTGAGCTCGGGGTTGAGAAATTACCCCCAATCAAAATCTAAAGGAAAAGAGATGAGAGGCAGTTCAACGACGGAATTCTCAACCTTTGAAGGAGGGCTACAGTGTATTTGGTGACTGATTGGTTAACGTTTGTGCTCATGCAAACGGTCATTTTCTTTTCCTTGCATCCCCATCTATTTTCCCGAGACGGTTCAATTTGTTGAATTCATCTGCAAACGATTCTCTCTGCTGGTGTGCAAAGTGTGCCGTGGAGGTTGTGGGATTTAAGTCGTTGATCTCAGAAGTGAGGACTCTTACAATTTATGCCTGGACATGGTGGAACTGGATTGAAAAATCCTTTGGCAGTCATTGTTCAGAGCCACGACCGATGTCAAAGGGTTGTCGATAACCATGCAACAAGATGAGAAAATCTACCACTAGGGTGTGTTTTCGGACAGAAAATTACAAGCGCACGTGCATCATCTTTGAAGAAAAAGTTTCGTAAAAATGAAAGATTCTGAAAACTGTTTGGTTTGGAAAGGGGGGGATTTGATATGCATGGCACTTCCTGCGCATCAGCAAAGTTCGTTTGAGTTCTGTCGGAGACCTGTGAAATGGCTATGAACAGCAAGCATGTTTTGCGCATTGTGTCAAGGTGGACTGATCAAGTGACAAGAAATGGAAGCCAATAGCCTTAATTTGACAACCAGCATAAGAAGTCAGTACTGCTGTGGCACCACTGTCGTGGGTAGGTGGTGTGTCCTGCACCGTCCGCCCTTGCTCATGCTTCTTCAACCAATAAGGCATTTGTGAGTAACGCGAGCATACATGCACATCAAGTGTAACCCTAAAAGGGTGCTGGGGGGGGGAATATCTATACCCTCTATATTTTTCCAATATCACAACAGTGTTTCTTTCTCACGAGCCAAGCCTGTGTGGGTTTTTTTGAGTAACTCTTAAAAGGTCATTTTGACACCACTTTTGTGAAAACTTAACATACCGTTCTCACGCAGCTCCCATTTTTCTGACAGGGGTCTGCTGAAAATATATACATTTCTCCACTGCCATGCTCAGTGCACGCAGAATGGCACACGCGGGGCCCACGCAGAATGGCACACGTGGGGCCCACGCAGAATGGCACACGCAGGATCCATGCAGAATGGCACACGCGGGGCCCACGCAGAATGGCACACGTGGGGCCCACGCAGAATGGCACACGCAGGATCCATGCAGAATGGCACACGCGGGGCCCATGCAGAATGGCACACGCGGGGCCCCACAGAATGGCACACGCAGGATCCATGCAGAATGGCACACGCAGGATCCATGCAGAATGGCACACGCAGGATCCATGCAGAATGGCACACGCAGGATCCATGCAGAATGGCACACGCAGGATCCATGCAGAATGGCACACGCAGGATCCATGCAGAATGGCACACGCAGGATCCATGCAGAATGGCACACGCAGGATCCATGCAGAATGGC